AACTTTTGATCACAGTAAAATCCTTTATAGAAATACTTTGAGATACGAGCTAAATCCTTTCCGGCCCTGTAAAAAAAATCCTTATTAGTGCTACTAATAATGGAAAAACCATGTTTTTAATTGCTATAGAGACATATACACAAAAATTATAGTATATAAGGATTCCTGTGATATAAAATAAAATGATTTAATTAGATTACAGTAGACGACACAAAAAAAAATTTGATCAAAGGCTTGCTCATATCTCGGAATACTCGTATGTCGGGACGCTCTTATCTCGAGGTATTACTGTATTTTGATGTGAAATGTGCCGAAAAGCTTTTTAGTTTTAATATTTTATTATTATTACGTATTTATCTTTATTTATTTTTATATTTATTTTAACTTTTGTTAGTTTTATTCTTTTATTTTACTAATTGCCTCTCATTTTCTTTTTTTTATCATAAGACGTTGAACATTTAGTTACATATATTACTCCTTTATTTTTATAATGTATATGTACAATCTTCTTATCATAAACAAATTACTATTCACAGATATTGTGGTTGAAACACTCAAATACAAGTGTGTGTTTTTTTTTTGGAGTTCAAAAGTAAATATTTACAATCATTATCATTAATAAAAGTCTTACCCTAAAAGTCTGAGAAAGGCTTATATTTATTCACCTATAACACTCAACATGAAATATATAAATATAAAAAGGAAACAACAAAAGGTAGGAAGCAGGTTATTCAACACATTTCAATAAATAAATATCTTCTTTTTTTTCTTTTCTTTTCTTTTTAACTGCTGTGACTATTGGTGTCCAGCACCTAACGTTCATCGTGGTCAAATGACGGCTGTGCTCCTTCTTGGTTCTAGCTATAAATATTCATAATTACTTACAGATTACTTACAGCGTTTTTTCATATACTAAATAAACATTCCCACATGTGTCCCAGGTTTAAAATTTAACTGAAATAAGAGGTGAAAGGACGGTTGGACACCGGCCCAAACTTGCCTCACAATTGTGTCGACCGTTGCCAAACTCATCCTCTGACTGTTGTTCAAACAGCTCTGACGTAACAGGGTTGGTGGGTATGTTACCTAGTTTAATCTTTTCAAAACATAATCCCAGAAAAAAACAATGATTCAGTGTTTTTGTTTCTCCAAAGTAGAAGGAATATGAAACAAAAACAAAAAGAAACGACCGTTGTTGTGCCTTTTTAAAATGTATTTCTAGTAGATTCTGGACTAATTCCTGAGAAGTGTTTTCAAATTGACTTTTTTTTTTAGCATCCAAGCTTATTTCAGTTCATTTCGATTATTTTTAACATCATTTGCTTTTATTATTGTAGTTTTATTCTGACTCCTGCTTATTTTAATCATAGTTTTTCTTTCTTGGGTTTTATAAATTACTGGTTTTCTTCGACAGATTTTTGACCGACTACGTTCATTGTTTTGATGATTTTTTTAAAAAAAAAGTAATTCAGCTAAAATAAAGCCATTTTTCTGACTCTTGGCAGAGTCTTTTTTGTTGTGTCTATTTAGGGCTAATCGTTAGTTCTTTCTCTGCCAATCTTTTATCTTCTGTCATTCTTTATGGTCCAATTTGATTAATTGGTTGTTGCTTTTTGTGGCCTATATATTTATAACAGTTTTAATGTTAATTTAATTAATTTATTTGATTGAGCTCTCTTTCATTTTTTCACTTCCAGTTTTTTTCTCCAGTTTTTATCTTTCAGTTTTCTCTGAGCTATTTCCCGGACATATTTTGCAAATCTTTGATTTGTTGCTTGTGTTTAATTAATTTTAAGCTAATGAACTTTATTTTTGGTCAAAATTTGTAGCTTTTTGGCCTATTTTCAGCTGTTCTTTGGATATTTTTAAGTTTTTAAATTAAACCTTTTCGGCTGTTTCTTTTTGTAATTGTAATGACTGCAGATACAAAGTGTCCTTTCCAAAGCAAACACTAGAGATGTCTGATTATATCGGCCGACCGATGTTATCGGCCCGATATTATATTGTGTAGTATCTTTAAAAAATTGTTATCGAATTCTCCTCCGATAATGGAAACCTGATAACGCTAACCTAATGCTAACGCAAATATGTCGAAATCGCTTGTAGGGTCCTGAGACGTTTACCTCAGTCTTGGTACATATCGGTATCAGTTTGTATCGGAATCGGAAATAAGGTGGTTTGGACGATATCGGCAAAAAGTTAATATCGAACATCCCTAGCAAAAACTTAAAAAACTATCAAGCACAAAGTTAGAAACTTCACTCCTGCTCTGCCTGCTCTGCGATATTAGTCTTGACTGGACTCACGGGGTCCTGAGAATCCAAAACCCTGAGTGGGTCGTCACAGGAGCTAATGGTCTCCTTGGACACAGCACCGGTCTGGTCCTGCTCGGGCTGCACCAGAGAGGTGTCTTTGTGATCTTTGACAGAGTGTGTGGGATGTGTCTGTGTTCTCAGTGGGTCAGAAGGATTCACCTCCTCGCTCCTCCTTGTCCTTTTGGCCAAAAGACCCCGGAACTTCTCCAGCAGAGTGGACGCAGATGAGGAAGACGATGACTCCAGTGGCCGGTGGTGTTATCGGCGCCTGCCGCCGCCGCCGCCGCCACCGCTGCTGCTGCTGTCCGTGGAGTGCAACACATTGCGGTGGTTTTCCAGAACACGCTGGAAGAGACAGTCGTCCCTGTTCCAGTGCCTCTGTTTGGTCGGTAAACAAAACATTAAAAAAACACTGTTAATCTGTCTGATTTAATTCAAGCTTTAAAAAACAAAAAAAACAAGGAAAGAATTTTCTCAAACACTTACAGATGTGTACAGCGCTCCCTTCAGGTCAATGCAGATGAAACGTTTTCTCCTCAAATCGAAAATTGACACAAAGTTGTCTGTTCTTCCAACTGGAACAGAAAGAATCACAATAAGGATTATTTTTACAGACAGAAAAAAGTTTTGTCTTAGGGGCCGGACCTGGCCGTAAAAAAAAAAAAGGTTCAAATGTGGGACTGGATTTATAATCGTTTGTCTGGAAGTCGAAACAGACAGATTTAAATACGAATTTTATGGTTGATTTTTAACAGAAATGCATTTTTTTAATTTGTCCTTTTTATGACTGATCTGTAAAATGATGGTCCATAAAAGTCCATAAAATTACATATTGACATAAACGTAAAGAATAATGAGATTCATTACATTGTTAAGTTGCCTTTAGAAGATTCATAATGTGTATAAAATGAGTTGTATATATCACATTGGTATCATTGAAATAGTTGAACTAATTATTTTATTTAATTTTTATTTTATTTAATGACTTACGTAGAATCTCCCTGTGAGTCTTCCTCGCGGCTCCTCTTTGTTTCTGGGAAAACCTGTCCATATGAGCTGCACTTCTCGGCGTTTGTCTGTATAAACTCCTTTGCTGATGATGGTGCGATAGTTCTTCCGACTCTCGGTCGAGTCTCGGTCTGCAGTCCACCACGTGCACGGCAGTCAGAAGGAGTGAGAAGAAAGCCGCTCTCATGGTCAGTGGAGAAGGGGATGCTGTCCTCTCTTAACTCTGCGCCTCAGTTCCAGGAACGTTCAGGATGGTGGCGAGAGGGCAGATAGTGGAGGAGGAGAAAGTCCAACGGCTCTATTTAAGCAGCGGGTCAATAAACTGGCTAACTCATTTACCACAATGACTCAAGGACTGCCTCTTTG